AGTAGTAGCCATCAGACGTCGACCTACTTGATAACCGATAATACAGCATAAAGCCACGTTATGCTTGCATGCTTTCTTATATATGCACGCGTAACAGTGACTGTCAGAAATGTTTTGTTGCTGGGGGAGTAGGTCGTGAATCTATCGAAGTAGTTTATAGGGGTCGCAGCCCAAAAAGTAATTGCACGCCAATTGTGTGTAGGTGTGACCCATAAGACCTGCATTTGACAGATCCAAGAAGACCAACAACATTCTGATAAAAGAATGGTGGTCATCTGAATTTCTGAAATATTTTTATCCTTATTTCAGCAACTTTTTCTTCTATAAGTTGAATTTTAAAAATTGTCACATAACAGTTGTAACAATTTTTATTATCGTTTTAGCTGATGTTTTTTATTATATTGCTCTTATACTAACATTATTATTACTGTTAGTTGTACTATATCGCATTTAGCTAGTACTTTATACGTAAACATAGACATATAAATATATACATTTCTTTACCGGATTGGTTTTTATCCGAATATTGAGTAAAAGGAGCTTAAATAAATTTTCAGATAAATATAAATTCAAAATTATTATTATTATGTGAGGGTGATATTCAACATCGAAAATAACGAACAGAAGGATATGTGTATTAACATCCGGCGCATTATGTTACTCGGCTTGCAAACCTTAGCCATAAGAGGGTGAGGGCGAGTAAGAGGCAGACGGCTGGAAGGCAGGGTACTGAGCCACTCCCTCGTACGTCACCTGAGCCACGTATCCTTGGTTGCCGTTGACAGTGTAAGTGACCCTCTGCAGGCGACCGTCGGGAAGTTGCACGTAGTAGGATCCCTGAGTATTGTATCCATCGCGCCCCTCTTGGTGACCGAAATCATTTCCAAAGGCATCGTTGACGGCGTAGTTGAAGTTATACTGAGGGCGAGTCTGCGTGAGTTCAGGGAAGAAGTTATAGCAGTTTAAAGGTTATCAATATTATTATTTCAAACATATGACTTGCAACAACAAAAGGAAATCAGAGGATTGTTCTGATCATGAATCTAGAAATTTACCATCTGAAAGATAGTAAAATATTATTTTTATGTATAAGATCTATTATTACTATTACTATTGTTGTTACTATTACTAAATCCTTATCATCATTATCATTATTATATTTTCATGGTAACCTACTACAGGAGAGACCGGTGGGTTGTAGGCTCCACCAGCAGCAGCCCCTCCGAAGTTGACGGCAGGTCTTGCGGCAGGTCGGAGGAAACTGGCAGCTCCTGCAGAACCACCGAAGGAAGATCCTGGAGCCTGATAGCTCTGAGAAAGGCCTGGCTTTGCACTTGCAACTGCCAGCAAGGAAGCCAGGGCGATAACCTTGACAGAAAGATTGACGGTGATATTAGATGTGACATAAATTATGTAAGCAAATTTGCAAGACACTTGAGGCGCGGGTATATGAGAAAGGAATGAAATAATTCCACCAATCTTCTCCAATGTAGATATGGATACATACTAGAAGTACTGAAGTCTGTATATAATTTTATATTTGTGTGTGAAAGTGTGCGTGTGTGTGTGCGCGAGTACGTGTATGTACATGAATACTCGAAATGAAATAATCAGTTACACGTGTAACTGAATGTACATGTATACATATCACATATATGTATCATATTCGTGTGTATGTAAATAAATGATTATAGACATACATATATACATACACATATAATAAATGCATACATAAATAGTCCCTAATTATGTGCATCTTATTTCTTTGTAAACGCGCACAAGAAAACACATATGTGCGTGTGTCTGTGTGAACTTGCCTTAAGAGCCATGTTTCGGAATGCGAGCAATGAATTCACACTACTGATGATGCTGTCACTCCCACTGCACTGATGAGACTGCTGTTGCCTGCAGTGATGGTCATGGCTTATATACGCGTCGAACGCCGCACAGGAAGTGATTTTTTTTTTTTTTTTTTTTTTTTTTTAATGAATAGCCGCATTTGGTATCTTCGTGAAATAGCGCATGAGGAGAATGATGAAATGGATGACAATACATCGAGCGTAAGAAAGCATCAGTGGAGAGCTACATCCATTCGTAAATGAAGGTGCTTTATCGTCTTTTTCTTAACGAGTGAGTCTTTAGTGTTGGTTAGGGGGTTGGTCGATGGAGAGGAGCCTGATGAAAAGTAAAAAAAAAATCTTTTGTTAATATAGATTATAATAGTGCTAAACAACAAAAATAATACACGTTAGTTTTATTAATGCCGTTTGCTTTAATATGTATTGCACTGGTTAAAAATACATTTGTTTCGATGGAAATCAACCACTATATAGATATACATAGTTTTTGCAATCGAACCTAAAATTATAGGGGTGCCTCTCCGAGCCCCAAAATATTTAGCTACGCCACATACCTCTTTCTCCAAGAAGACTGTGATGTATTTTCATAGTTTTGGCTATAATTGTAGTTGTATGTATGGCACACATATGTACTCCGACACATATATGTCAGAATACTATATGAATGAATATATATATATACATATATATATATATATATATATATATATATATATATATATATATACATATACATATATATATACATATATATGAATACAAACACAAAGATAAAAAAGAAACGGTCAGATCAGAAATGAAATTGAATCGAAACATCTTGAAGTCGTCAAGAGTTCTTCATCAGACGAATAAATAACTGAAATAATTATTAATTTGTAACATTTCGATTCATTTATTTTTTATGGTGGCTGTGATTCCTTTACACGAGCACACATATATACATTTACATGTAAATATATATGTATACAGTATGTATATATGTATACAGTATATATATATATATGTATACAGTATATATATAAATATATATATAACGAGTATATACATATATATGCATACATGCATATATATGTATATGTATATAAATACAGATAAATATGCTTATGTATATATATATATATATAATTATATTAGCGTTGCTGGTGGTAGTTATCCTAACTACTTCCCTAGAAATAGTGGCCTCGTCCGGAACCTGTATTACACTTCACTCTAAACTTGACATATGCCTTTGGAAAGGATGTTTTCATTCATATTAAAAACACATTCCATTGGTATGAAAAAGTGACCTTGTATTCAGATCCACGACAATAGAGATTAAACCACAACTTTATTTTAAAAAGTAACACGTGAAATATCTAAGACATTGATATATCATATTGTCACCGACGTGACCTAATGTGAGGCAAAAATGTGCTTCCTTATTTGTAATACTAACCTTGTTATGCAATCGCTTAGCGCACTGTACTTACACAGCACTTGTGTAGTTGAGACCCAAAAGACCTGCATTTGCTATATTTTATTTTTAAAGTTAAAATAGGCCAACACCACTCAAATGTAACAATAATAATTTTCATCTCAAGATCTCTTTTTTCCACTACTTACTCTTTTATCATTTGACCACAATATGGTCTCCATAATTAACATTCTTTCAATTATTCTTACTGTCGTTTCATTTGATATTCTCGACAGTATTGTTGCTCTCGCATTAATATCATTATTACTGTTATTATTATTTTGCGTTTTACTAGTACGTTATATGTACACTAAGGCATGCAAACAATGGCATGGCACACGCCTTTTACAGGTTTAATCAACGATTGATCATCAGGGCCAGCATGGTAAAATATATGTATTACGTATACTTTAAACCAGATTTTTTGTTTGTTTGTTTTATATAGGGAGATGTGGGAAAACTTTTAGATATGTGTGAATTTGTTTTATTTTTGTCAGGCTAATATTACAAAATAAAAATATATATGTATACATATATATATATACATATTAACATCCGACACATGCCCCGCGGCTTGCAAACCCTAAGCATAAGAAGGTGCGGGCGAATAGGAGGCAGAAGGCTGGAAGGCAGGGTACTGAGCCACTCCCTCATATGTCACCTGAGCCACGTATCCTTGGTCGCCGTTGACAGTGTAAGTGACTCTCTGCAGACGACCGTCGGGAAGCTGCACGTAGTAGGATCCCTGAGTGTTGTATCCATCACGCCCCTCTTGGTGTCCGAAATCGTTACCAAAGGCATCGTTGACAGCATAGTTGAAGTTGTACTGAGGGCGAGTCTGTTCAGATTTAGAAAACAAAATCAAGTTTATTAATTATTGTTATAAAAATCGGAAACCATTGTTCTGGTCATGAATTTGGAGACTTGCAATTAAAAAAAAAAAAAAAATCCATAATCAGGCTTTCGTTATATATTCTCTTTATCTCACTTTATCTAAAGGTAACTTACTACTGGAGAGACGGGTGGGTTGTAGGCTCCACCAGAAGCAGCCCCTCCGAAGTTGACGGCAGGTCTTGCGGCAGGTCGGAGGAAACTGGCAGCTCCTGCAGAACCACCGAAGGAAGATCCTGGAGCCTGATAGCTCTGAGAAAGGCCTGGCTTTGCACTTGCAACTGCCAGCAAGGAAGCCAGAGCGATAACCTGTAGAGAGAAGGTAGTAATTGTGTGCTAATGAATTTGGAAATATATTTGCAGTATCCTGGAAATTGTACATACTTCGCAAGTATATAACGTACACTTATGGGTGTTCACATATATATTCATATGCATGTGTATATATATAAATACACAAGCCTAACATGTATTTATATACAAACACGTGTATATATTCATATATGTATATATATGTGTGTGTGTGTGTGAATGTATATATATATGTGTGTGTATACATATAGACATTTGTATGTATGTATGTGTACATGTGTGTCTACATATAGATATTCAAAAACATGCACACACAAATGTATGCATTAACCTAAACACTCTTTTGCATCCTTTCTACATTTCACACTATTAACAGAGAGCCTCCGGTGACGAAGCTACGGACGCTACGGCTACTTACTTTAAGAGACATGTTGTTTCGCGATGCTTGAGGGACTAGTAATAATACTGTCGATGCTGCTACTACA